TTTATATGTTTTTACTAATTGCTTTTTTGAAGGAACAAAATGTTACGGCAAGAAATGACAACACTCACGAAGTGAATATGCTTGAAGTTGAAACAAAGTATGATATTCTAAAACTACAATAAATAATGTATCTAAAACAAAAGTGCTCATGCAGAATGTCTCAGGTATGCTGAATATGCTGATATAATATAGTGTAGTGGGTTTCTTAGATTCTAGATAACTTCTGGAATCTTTCTAGAACAAGTTCAGCCCCTACAAATAGTGAGGTTGATAGACAGGTTTTCTTTGTCGGTTGAAGGCGACCGAGCTAAACGGTCCTAAAACTGTCTGAGATAGAAGGGTTTTAGTCGATAGATACGATGACACCTTCCCCGGAAATCCGTCACTATTCAGTCGTATGGAAGGCTGAGTGTCTTTTGAAGATTCCCCCTCTTCCACGAAAACAAAAGAAAAAGATTTAGTTCGAGTTCTAGTTATAAGGCGATAGAAAGCGATATAAGATTGAAGAAACGATAAGCATGCTATATTGTAGTGAACGAGAAATGACTTTGCCAAAAGCCCCAAGTGCTCCGGAAATGATCAGGATTACCTAGCGTAATTGTGTAACGGACGTCGCTACATGCTGTGGTAGAGGTTCGTACGAGAACATAGGCAAGGAAGGAACTCGCCACCGGTTATTATGGCGACGGTAACGCTAAAATACGTTGGTGGATGTGATGTATCGAACATGTACATAGGTATAGCGGATTTCGATAATGGTAGAGATGCAGGGAATTCTCTCTTAAAATGCTATACACCATATTACGCGGAATTCCTGTTTGCCGTGCAATGACTAGGATACTCAAACGGGATTGTCTTCTATTAATCGCAAAACGATTTCGTTAATACCCACCTGTCATCTATGCTGATTTTCACCCTCTCGATGCACTACCACACTTCCTGTATATTACAACCAGTGCATTCTCATTTGTAAAGTGTTGTAGTATTTGGTTTAATTATTTACTTCGCTACAGATTCCTTTTAAATTTTTATTACTTTTAACAATACTCATACATATGTACCTATAGCATGTCGGCATATTTGGCGTGCGAATACATTGTTTTTTGCTCTCAATCATTAACGGCTCATTATCGGGGTACTTTTTGTGTATAGTTCCGCAATCATATTAAAAAAAAAGACTTTTTTCGCTTC